TTTTTCTCCTTCCTTCCTTTCTTTTTCTTTCTTTCTCTTTCTTCCTTCCTTTTTTCTTTCTTTCTTTTTCTTTCTCTCCTTCCTTCCTTTCTTTTTCTTTCCCTTCCTTCCTTCCTTCCTTCCTTCCTTCCTTCCTTCCTTCCTTCCTTCCATCCGTCCTTCCTTCCTTCCTTCCTCCCTGTCTTTCTCTCTCTCTTTTTTCTTTCTTTTTTTCTTTTCTTCCTTCGTTCTTCTTTCTTTCTTTTTGTTTTTCAAGACAGGGTTTCTCTGTGTAGTCCTGGATGTCCTGGAACTCACTCTGTAGACCAGGCTGGCCTCAAACTCAGAGATCTACCTGCCTTTGCCTCCTGAGTGCTGGGATTAAAGGTGTGCGCTGCTGCCCACTGCCACCACCACCCAGCTTCAGCTACATGTCTTGTCCATGCCAAACCCATCTATCTGCTCAGGAATGGTATCACCCACAGTGGGCAGGTGCTCCTTCATTGGCCAGTAATCAAGAAAATGCCCCACAGACGTGCCTACAGTAGGCCAGTCTGAAGGAAGGAGCTTTTCAGTTAAGGTTCTCTTTTCCCAAGCATGTCAGGGTAACAGCCATCACTGATAGCAAGTGTTTAGAAAGATAGATACTAGTGCTTTCCATTTATTATCAACTGGTTAAGAAGAAAGTGAAGGATGTGGCAGAAAACAACACAGAAGCAGTCGGCCTGTGTAAATGGTATGAAAGGGTTCCTTGTACAAGCTCTCCATTTTCGAGTAGCTAGAAATTTTTCAAAATAAAAGATTGAGGCTAAAAACCAGGAATTGCATAAAAGCAGAAACAGGAAAGTGAGCAGCGGTGTCCTCCCACGTATCCTCCACTGGCTTTGGGACCACTCTGAAGCTCACCCTGCCTCACCTGTAAGTGCCAAAGGATGCCTGCATCTCTCCAACCTTGCATTTCAAGCATCCCAGTGAGGACTTAGAGAATGTATTTCAAAGGGTGCAGGGAAGAAGAGCAGCCTGACTCCCAGGGGCTTGCAAGGGCCAAGTCAGCTGTGAGAATAAATGCGCGTGTGAATGGCGGTGACAGCGGTGCTCCTCAGAGCCTCTGTTTGAAGGCTTTATGCTGCAGGATGGACTAGACATGATCAGACAGACTGGAACTGCAGTGCCCTTCTGGAGTCTGCCTTGAGCAGAACCCGGCAAAGCCTATAGCAATTATTTGCTGACTGTTCCTCCACCTGCCATTGGCTGTGGAGGTCTATGAACCCCAAGAGTCCAAAGACAGCAGCTGGCCAGAGAGGGCCAACTCCAAGCAAGACCATCTTTTTCCTTCCCTTCCACCAGCCTAGGGTCCTGAGAGTAAGAAAGAGCAAGAGAGCCGCCGGAAGGTCTGGATCTCCTTCCCAGAACCGTCCTTACTGAACGGCCTGCATCTTATTCAACCAGAACATAAGCTGGCAAAGCAGAGCCCTTTCTATGAAAACACTCTGAATCCTCGAAGAAAGAAGGGATGCAGCAGGCTGCAGCCTGGACACGCCCTCATCATCAGTCTCACTTCCTACCAAAGCCTTTGTTGTTTCCTGTGCATTGCCCGTTATTTCACAAGCTAGTTCTTGCTTGTTCTGAAGTTCCAAGAGAGAAGTCTTTATCTTCTGCCAGAAGCCACATAGCTGGCTGCAGTTCCTCCTGGCCAGCACCATGGCTAAGACCCTTAGTGATCATTTGCTGAACACCCTGGAGGAGCTCGTGCCCTATGACTTTGAGAAGTTTAAGTTCAGCCTGCAAAACACCAACCTGGACAAGGGTCTTTCCAGGATCCCTCGGGGCCAAGTGAAGATGGCCAGGCCGGTAAAGCTGGCCAACCTTCTACTCAGCTATTATGGGGAAGCGTACGCTGTAAGGCTGACCGTGCAGGTCCTGCGGGCCACCAATCAGCGCCTTCTAGCAGAGGAGCTTCGCAAGGCCACAGGCCCAGGTAAGAGGCCAAGCCAGCGGGGATGGCTGCTGGCTGCTGGCCGCTGGCCGCTGGCTGCTGGCTGCTGGAGGAAAGGAATGCTCAGACCCAAGCTCCCTACCTTAACCCAAGCTCCCTACCTTAAGGGTTAGGAAGCCCCTGTTCCCCACAACCTGAGCATGGTAAATCCAGCATGCCTCCGCCTTTTCTCTGACTTTTGTAGCCTGGGTAGTGAAGTGTCCAGGCTTCCAAAGATGTTAAAAATAAAAACTGGTATTCCAACTGTGGGTGAGAATCAGGCCAGGCAGAGCTTGAATGGAGTGAATCCTAAAGAATTCTTCACTCTGTTTTTCAACTAATATGCATGCCCAGACAAACATTAGGTTAGCAGAAAAGGCTGGAAATCCAACTATACTAACATGGCTGAAAATCTTATTAACTGCCTAATTTCAGCTTGGAGTTCTTCTTTAGCATATGTTAAACATAATTAAACATTCTTTACTTTTAATGAAAAGTAAATCAAATCAAAGCATAGGTTGCTAATTACAGATTATCTTCATTATGTAGGAGTTGGAATTAAACCTTATTTGTCATCTTAAGTAGCAATGTCCTAAAATTGCAGGCAAGTTTGCTTGTTGTTTTTGTTTTTGTTAAATTTTTTTTTTGGGGGGGGGTTGGTTTTAAGACAGGGCCTCACTATGTGGCCCAGGCTGGCTTCAGACTCACAGAGATCCCCCTGCCTCTGTGTCCAAAGTGCTGAGATTGGAAGGTGTTTGCCACCACAGCAGTGCAAACTTGTTTTCAAGTAGCATCCACATTTACCTTCGTGAGCTGAGATTTTCTTCAGTTTGTGCCATGAACAAAAAAGAGTCATTTCTAAGTCCCTATTTTAATTAATTTTTTTTTGTGTGTGTGGGGGTGTGTGTTTGTCTATGTGTATGTATGTGCGCCACTTGTATACCTGATGTCCATAAAAGCCAGAAGAGGGCATCAGATTCCCTGGATCGGAGTTACAGATGGCTGCGAGCCACCGTGTGGATGCCAGGAACCAATGGGGTGCTCCGGAGGAGTCCCCAGGCTCTGAACTGCTGAGGCGCCTTGCTCTCTCCAGGCCTGTATTGTAATTTAATTTTATTTGTGTTTTGTGTCTGTCTGTATTTATAAGTGAGTGTTACAGTGCCGTGGAACACATAAAAAGATCAGAAGGTAACCTGAAAAAAAATTGATTCTCTCCCCTTTTGGGTTCTGGAGGTCAAACTCAGGTCATCAAGCCTGTCAGCAAGTGCTTTTACTCACTGAGCTGGTCTGTTTTAAGTCTTTTTTTTTTTTTTAAATTGCTTTGTTTTATAAATCAATTTTCACATCTATAGTCATGCAAACATTCATAACAATAAGCCAGCTTTTATGTAGTTTATATTCTGTGGGTCTGTAGAGTTGACTGGCGTTGCCTAGAATGTCCTCTCCTTTGCTTTTAGTAACTTCTGAGGAGATTCTCTGTCCCTTCCTCCAGCCTCCGCCTTGAATGTAGGACAGCTTTGTGACTGTCTCTGATTGTCTTTCTAGAACATTTGACTGAAGAAAATAGAACTGATGGTTTTGTCCAGTTTTCTGGAGAGAATAAGCCCAAGAGTGTGAAAGGACCAGATGTCCTGGAAGGTGATGGAACAAGGCAGAGTGGTGATGGAAAGGACAGCCTGCCGCCCAGCCAGTCTGAAGTGGGGAAGGGACCCCAGAAGAAGTCTGTGGTGAAAAGGAGGGAACAGAGGGGCTCTGAGAGCCTCTGCTCACAGACCAGGCCAGGGGTTAGGAGCACAACACCACTCCAAAGGAAAAGCTCCACCACCCAGGCCCCAGGGGACAAGGAAAGCAGTGCAAACGCCCAGCTCCGCAGGAATGCCAGCTCGGCGGGAAGGCTGCAGGGACTCGGCAGCAACAGCCCAGGGAGGAGAGAGAGCAAGAAAGCTGAAGTGTATTTGCCTTCAGGAAGGAAGCGACCCAAAAGTCTTGAAATTGCCACTTATTCAAGAGAAGGAGAAGCCCTGCTGACTCAGGAGGAAACAAGTAATGGGAGACCACACTCAGCTGTCATCCCCACGAGCACAGCTGCCCTGAGTGGAAGTGCTCCTGGGGCCCTAGAAAAGGGCGCAGGGAATCCAGAACATTCCACGATCCCTGATGTAGAGACATCCAGGAACACGCCTTTCAAAATATCAGTGATTGGAGAGGAGCAATGCACTGCATGCTGGAAGGAAGATGGAACCGGGAGTCCATGGACTGTGGGGGAGATGGCTGGCAGCACATCCTATGACTCCTGCAACCCAGAAGTGTGTTTGTCACACTGTGAAAAACCAGCCCAAACTCCAGAAGGCCCAGCACCCTTAGGACCAACATCGTGTAGAGGTACCCTCCCCCAGCTCTCCAGAATTCCCTTTTATTCTGACTATATTTATAGTGCTGAGATGCCTCCAGGGGTCCCTTTGAGAATGTGCACAATTACACATCTTGCACAGCAGGTTGCATCAAATCTCAGTTTGTGCCTGAGCTCTCAGCAGTTCTAGCCACAGGCTAGGTTAAGAATCTAGAGCAGGGGCTAGAGAGATGGCTTGGAGGTTAAACGCACTGACTGCTCTTCCAGAGGTCCTGAGTTCATTTCCTAGAAACCACATGGAAGCTCACAACTATGCATATTGTGATCTGATGCCCTCTTCTGGCAAGCAGGTGCACATGCAGACAGAGCACTCACATACATAAAATAAATCTTAAAAAAAAAAAAAAGCTAGAACGGAATGAGTCAAAATATCCTTTTCCCACAGTGACTCCACAGGGTAAGCCTTGGGACAGAGCCTTCACCCTTCTCAGGGAAGGGAAAGATGTTGACCAAAAGCAGCTGTTACAGGGAAATTACTCATCAGGACAAGACAGAAGCTTGTTCCTCTTTCACACGTCATTTGTGTAACCACAGCTAAGACTTCTGCTGAGCTGTTTTTCTGCTTCTTTCTGTTTCTTCTTTCTCTTTTCTCTCTTTCCCTCTTTCTTTCTTTCTTTCTTTCTTTCTTTCTTTCTTTCTTCCTTCCTTCCTTCTTTCCTTCCTTCCTTCCTTTCTTCCTTCCTTCTCCTTCTTTCCTTTCTTTCTTTCTCTTACATTCATAACCACACAGGTGATACCCCTGGTTCTACTCATGAATATGGAGGGACAAAGGGCACATTGTGATGTAGAGAAGGTTTTTTTTTCTTTTTTAAGTTTCTAGAGGCTTTGTTCTCACTTACCTTTGGCTAGAATTTGATCAATTGGCTTCTGCTAGCTGCATGCGAAGCTGAGAGTCTGGGTGTAGAGTGAGGTGGAAGAGCAGCCACAGAGGCAAACAATTGATTCTGTCAAGAGAATGGTTCCTTATAGGACAATATGATTTATGATTGTGAGACAAATTCCTGGGCCAGGGAGGGAGGAAGGAGGAAGAGCTAATGGATTGTGCATTTCTATTTCTTCGTGTGTCTCTTGATGTTTTTAATGTATAGAGACACGGCCTATAGCCTTGAGGCGGAACTTTTACAGCTGTTATGTTCTCACTGTGAAAGTAATCCTTTAGCTTATAAAGTGCCCTTCTTTCTTTATGGTTCTTGAATGGGAGCAGAGAATTTACCCGGCACACGTCTTCCAAATGCTTACCATGCTTTCTGGCCAGGTTTTCTGCTGGGAGTGAGGATCTGTCATTGAATGAGGCACACAGTGGCTATGCCCAGGAGCTCTTGCTTGAGTTGTGGGAAAACTGTGGTAGTTTGAAATAGGAAAGTAAATGCTGCCTGCATGTTTTGCTTTCTTTTATATGAGCCAATAGATCTGTGTCTGCGCAAGGGGAAAGCATAGGATTTGTAGCAAAGGGCCATTGGTCTCTCACGGAGTAAATGCCCAAGGCCACTGCGGCTCAGAAAAGCGGAAAGCTTTGCACTCAGCTCTCAGCCCCAGTGGTCCGTTCACAACCTCATTTGGATGGCGATCAGAGAAGAGCATACTGGGAAGTAGCCAGATCTGAGAATGTGTGTATGAGAACAACTGTTCTCTTACACCTTGGGTTTGCCACTGAGCTGATTTTCCACTGCTGTGTCTCCAGGAAGGTCACAGGACAAGGCTGCATGTCCACTTTGCCACACCCAGGAAGGAGACCTGCATGGCAGTACCTTGGTGCAAAGTTTCTGTAGCTGCTCCATCGCTCCTGGGGATCCCAAGGCCTCGGGCAGATGCTCACCCGTGTGCCCCCAGTGCCAGCGTCCACTCGCCAGCAAGAGCTGTGAAGCCCAGAGCCCCCAGCTCCTGCCACAGTGCCCTCGTCACATGAAGCAGGTGCAGCTGCTCTTCTGTGAGGACCACAGGGAGCCCATCTGCCTCATCTGCAGGCTGAGTCAGGAGCATCAAGGCCATCGAGTGCGCCCCATCGAAGAAGCTGCACTGGAGTACAAGGTAAGGTGTCTATTGCCTGGACCCCTCTCTCCCACAAAACTGGACACCTGGGCCTTGTTCTTTATCCAACCCCTCTGGGATGGAGGTGCATTAGTCAGGATTCCTGGGCTCTGGATGGTAAAAACTCAAGACAAAGCAGGGACAGCCAAAAGGGAACTGGTAACCTATGTTGTTCAGAAGTCCAAGGGTTTTGGTTTTAAGTATGGATCCTGGGTCCCCTCTTGGGATTTGGTGGTGCTCTGCTTGTCTCTGCTTTCCTTGGTGATGATTCCACACCCCTTCTTTCCTAGACCAGCCCACACGCACCTGCAGCACCCCGGCTCTGCTTTCAGAAGCTGAGTCTTCCCTCAGGAATTGGGGTGGGGGCGTCAGGAGTCGAATATAAACATTTTAACCAGTGCTCTTCTCCAGGAGCAAATTCAGCAGCAGCTGGAGCGTCTGAGGGAGCTGAGGGGAAGTGTGGAGGAACACAGACGGCAGGGAGACAAGAAGACAGAGAAAGCCCTGGTGAGACCCCGGGGTCATTTACCCCCTCAGGACAGAGGGGGGGACTAAGCGAAAGGAAAGGTCCCTGGCATTCTGCTCTCATCCACAGGGCAGAGGGGTGGCCACGTGTTGTTGCATCCCGGTGCTGACGGTAGGGAGGTCTAAGGTGAGCTCGCTCTTGAAGCTGTCAGGGGAAAGGGTTCTCTCTCAGGACCGGCTCACTTCCTCCTTCTCACAATGAAACAGTTTAGAGAAACTAGAAGCTGTAGCTGTCACTTCAAACATTCTTTGTATTGTTTCTATAATCATTGTTGGAGCCAGGGAGATAGCTCAGTTGGTAGAGTAGAAACCTAGGGTCAGTGAGACCCCAAGTTCCACCCCCAGGAGGGCAGAAAACTAGCAATGGTAGCGCATGCCTATAATCTCGGCATTGGAGGTGGAGGCGGGAGGATAGATTCACGTTCACCATTAGCTACATAGCAAGTCCAAACCCAGCCCAGGCTCTATTAGACGCACACACACCAAAAAATCTGGGAATGTTGGCACACACATGTAATCCTAGCACTCAGGAGGCAGAAGCAGGAAGACGCCACAGTTTGAGGGCAGCCTGGTTTATACAACACGCTCCAGGACAGCCAGAGCTACACAGTGAGATCCTGTCTTAGAATGATAATAGTAACGAAATAATTTTATTCGTGAATTTTAGAAAATATATTGACTTTGGGGGGGGGGGCATTTCCTCCAGTTCTAGGAACAAAACCTAGAACTTTGTACTGGCTAAGAAAGGCTTTTATCCTTAAGTCCCCAAGCCCCCAAGCCCCCCCCCCCTTTTGGCTTTTTGAGACTAGAGCTTGCTATCTATTTCTGAATGGCCTAGATAGCAACCTACTCTAGAATGACCTCATCTTAACCAAGTGCACCTGCAAGTACCCTGTCTCCAGGCAGGCTCAGACTCTAAGGTACTGGAGACTCCAACATGAAAATTTTGGAGGGAAAACTACTGAACCTGGCTCTATATTCAACAGCTAGCTCCTCTTACGCTGTCTGTTCTGGAAAGTTCCATACAGATTTCTCCCTATTCTGGAGCCACATCTGTAAAAAGATGAGAGTCTTAGTTACAGTTAAGTTGCTGTGAAGATGGAAATTGGAGAGATGATCAGCAGCTGACAGCACTTGTTGCTCTTGCAGAGGACACGAGTTCAATTCCCAGCACTTACTTGGTGGCCCACAGCCATCAATAACTTCCGTTCCAGGGGATCTGGAGCTCTCCTCTGACTTCTGAGGGCACTAGGCACACATGTGCCACACATACATGCATTTAGGCAAAACATTTGTTTGCATAAAAGTAAGAACAAATTTTACAATAGTTAAACCTTAAATTGCTGTGAAGAGACACCATGACTAAGGCAACTTATAAAAGAAAGCATTTAATTGGGACTCATGGCTCCAGAGGGTTAGGGTCCATGACCATCATGACAGGGAGCATGGCAGCAGGCAAGCCGACTTGGTGCTGAAGCAGTAGCTGAGAGCTTACGTGAAACCTACAGGCGTTAGGGTGAGATGAGGGAGAGAGAGAAAGAATTGGAAATGGTGTGGGCTTTTGAAATCTCAAAGCTCAATCTCAGTGGCACACTTCTTCCCAACGCCACCCCTCCTAATCCTTCTCAAATAGTTCCACCAACAGTAGGCCAAACATTCAAATCTATGAGCCTACGAGGGCCTTTCTCATTCAGATGTCACACTGAGGAAGCCTGTCTCTCACCCATCTCTGGAGGGGGGCTTTGAGGGCATCCCTAGATACATACTTCCAGCCCACAGCACATACTCCCACATCTCCCAATTCTATGTCCCCCAGAAACAAACAGAAACCCAGACGCAGAGGGCTTCGTGTCAGCTTGAGAAGCTGTACCAGTTCCTGGAGCAGCAAGAGCAACTCTTTGTGACCTGGCTACAGGAGCTAAGCCAGACCATCAGCAAGGTCCGAGAGACCTGTGACACCCGGGTTTCCCAGGACATTGCCCTCCTGGATGAGCTGATTGGAGAACTGGAGGCCAAGCAAGACCAGCCAGAATGGAAGCTCCTGCAGGTGGGTGTGGGTGTGCCTGGCCTTTCCCTGCCTGCCATGCCCAGTGGGATGACTCAGGCTCTTGTCACTGCCCAAGCCAGGAAGCAAGGCCATTGAGCCCTGGAAAGGGACTTGGTCTCAATGACTCATGAGGTTTCTTGGGATCATGCCTCTTTGATGAGGTTTCTTGGGAGCCCAGAACATCTCAGCATCTAGGACACCCCTGGCGTCACCCAAAAAAAGACCAGCAGAACTTGAGTGCAGTTGCCCTGTGGACTATGGCAAGGCTTCCACCCATGTGATTAGAATTACAACAAGGGGGATGCTCCTATTTCTCAGTACCCTAGCCCTGGAGTCCTTGAAAGGCCAGAGAGAAGCTTGAAGCTGGGAGTCACAGCCTCTTGGAGACTGGTAATGGAGAGCTTGTCTCTTTTCTCTCCTAGGACATTGGAGTCACCTTGCACAGGTACAGAGAGGTCCCATGGTGTCCCCTTGGGTGTCTTGCAGCAAGTATTTGGATGAGACAGTCCTAGAAAGGACCTGGGTCTGTAACTCAGGACTTCTGTTTCCTGAAGCTCCCTGAGACCATCCTTCCTGGATTTGTGTGGGAAGAACAGAACAGGAGTCTGAGCAGGTGGGAGTGGGGAGGGCATGAATGGAATGGGAGGAGGAGGGTTTGATCCCAGTCCTGATGAACCCAAATGGTGGTTTCCCAAGAAACCTCTCAAATGGATGTCCTTTATGCCATGATAGTGGTCCTTTGGGGGAGATCCTTGGGATAAATTTAGAGGTGGGTTAAGCCTAGCAGGCAGGGGGAAGAAAGAGGTGAGGTAAAAAAGGTACATCTCAGACTTACTTTACACAATCCTGGTGTCCAAGGCGCAGCCACACCAACTAGATCTGAGTTCGGGGGTTGGGACTTAGACATTAGCAGGGGTTTTTAAAATTATTTTCTTCAGTAAAATATGCATAACCTAGAACTGCAGCTATTTCCTGTCTGCAGCACAAGGGTGAGAATCCAGCGACATTGGTGTGCACCTGTTACTGCCGTCCACCTCTGGATTTTCACCTTCCACACAGGGACTCTGTACCATTAACACTAACTCCATGCCCTCCCTCCCCTATCACCTGGCAACCACCATTCCGCTTTTCCTGTCTATTGGCCTGGCTGTTCTCAATACCTCACATAGGCAGAGTCATACAATAGTTATTCTTTAGCCTTCAGCCTACTTTCACTCAGCACAATGTTTTCACAGGTCATTCATGTTGGAGCATGTACCAGAATTCTACTCCTTTGATTTGCCAAGTGACACTCCTTTGTGTGCAGATGTCATGTCATTGTGTGCAGATACCGCACCTTCCTTATTAGCTCCTGTACTGACGGACGTTTGGACTGTTACTACCGTTGGGCTACTGGGAATGGTGGGGTTACAAACACAGTATTCAAGTGCTATTTGAGACTCTGCTCTCCATTTCCCAGGCTTTACACTTAGAAGCGGACACTCTACGTCCACTGTAAGTTTTAAGGAACTTGCACGTTACTTCCTACTGTAGAGGCAGCATTTCACAGTCCCACCCACAGCGCTCGTTTCTCCACATCTTTGTCACCAACACGTAATTTTCCGTTACGATTCTTTATTGCTGTTATAATGGCCATTCTAATAGGAGTGAAATAGCATTTCATTGTTCCTTTTTTTTGTCTTCTCTTTCAATGGGAATAGTAGAGAAGTAGAATTAATGTGACGTAGAGAATTCTGCTGGCAGGGCTAACCCAGTGTTAAGGCTGTTATTTAAGCTCACCGTGGTTTTTACAACAATGGCTCAGAGATGCTGATGTGTAGTGAAGTTGAGGACCAGTGTCAGAGCTTTCAGTCTAGGGAAGACTTCTTTGGATCACTCAACTCAGCAAGGGTGTGTTCCGTGGAGATGGTCTCACTGTCTCCTCACGGGGGCTCAGGCTACATCTTGCTCCTCACTCCTCTGGCCAACAATCTTGTCTCTAGGGCTGAGAGGATAACTGTCTCTGAGCCGTTGGCTACTCCTGCAGATGTTAAACAACAGATCCACCTGCTCTACCAGAAATCAAAGTTTGTGGAGAAGAACATGCAACGTTTCTCAGGTGAGTTCGGGCGAAGCCGGGAAGCCTTTGCTCACTTCCTGCCTGGGGTTCAGGTAGCCCAGAGCCTGTCCACTGACTTCCCCATCTACCACAGCCTTTGTGGCCCTGCCGCCACCTTCTGTCTCATCTGACTCACTAAGCTCATCTGCTGCCTTTCCTGCATTTTAGAAACGCTGCGCTGTGAAATGAAAGCACTCAGTACTGCAGAGGCGGCACAGTGGGGAGGGCACTGCTCTGGCACAGCAGAGGCCCCGGGGCTGATCCTGAAATGCTATGGTGGAGACACACAGAACCACAATATAGTTTTTTATTCACAAGTGGAAGCTGTAGGACCAGAGCCTCAGGATCACCTTCAGCCTGAGCCCGCTCAAGGCACACCTGAGACCCTTTCTCAGAAAAAAAGAAAACGGAAATCTTTACTGAACTTGAAAGCATTATTTGTAAGTATGGTAGTAATCCCAGCTAACCAAGAGTTTTTATAGTTACCCTTTGTCTGTTGCTTTGGGGAAAAGGATTCAGAATAGGGGGGTTACACCTAGAATGGAAGCATTACACCATTCATAAAAGGCCCCCCAGCTCTGCTTCATCTCTCTGTATCCGCCTTGTTGACTGAACTAAGGTCTCTAGCATTTAGGGTGCCTGGAAGGCCTTGGGTTATAACTAAGCAGGAGAAATCCTTGTCTTTGGTTGTGGGGATCATGCAGTTCAGACCCCCTGAATGGGTGTGCTTACAACTTTATTCTTTTTCCTTCCCCTGTGTAGTTCCAGAACTGATTGGTGCTTAGGAACACGCAGGTAAGGCAGGTAACAGGCTTAATTTATTGGGCCCCCGGTATGTTCCTGTCCCCTACACCACCTCAGTAAATTCCTCTTCCTCAGGTGGGGAATCTGGGGGAAAGCTCACAGATCCCCACTCCCAGCTAGGTATCCCCACTCTGCCTGCACTTACTGTGCTTCTGACCTGGCAGCTGCTCACGCCAACATCACCTCCTCCGATGATCTGGAGAGTGTGAGACTTGAAACAAGTTGTGCCTGCTGCCCGACAGTGTCCAAAGATCCTCAAGTCACATCACCGTGCTGGACGCTCCCAGCTTTGACTCCGCTGCCACCGCTGGGAGGCGGAGTGTGGGAACAAGACAGTTCACCGGGAACATGCAAAGCACTGGCAAGCCGCAAGGGAGTGGAACCCTGCAGAGAATGGCTACTGGGTGGTAGTGATGGTCAAGCAACAGGAATCCACTTCGCCAGCCTGAGGGAGGGAACCCTCGGGCTGGTGGGCGTCTTCCTGGACTACACAGCCAGCAGCATTTCCTTCAGCCAGATCCCACATCCACGTGTTCGCCAGCTTCTCTTCCCCCAGTTCCCTTCAACCTGTCTTTAACTTTGGGGCACGTGATGAAGGGAAGAACAAGGCTCTCTGATCATCAGTCCGGTCAGTGACCAGAGACTCACTGACTGCCCACCACTGGACCTCCATTCTGGCCCCTGGTCTCGTATCTTGCATTCATGTGCTCAGAAGCCATTAACGGAGTCAGCTGACAGAGGGGATGTAATGACTGACTAATAAAATAACGTCAGGCTGTGGTGGTGTATGCCTGGGCGGCTGAGGCAGGGTGCTACCTGTGAGGACCACGGTTTGTGTCTAGCCTGGTGGACTTCAGTCACTCTGACTGTGGTCCAGCCTCCACACAAACAAACAAAGTAATACTAGTACCTGTATCAGTTACAACTCTGATTGCTGTAATAAAAGCAACTGGGGGAGGATGCATTCATTCTGACTTGTAGTTCAAGGGTCTGCATCGTGGCAGAGCAGCCACAATGGCAGAAGGTCATGTGTGCATCAACCATCAAGAGGCAGCGAGGGAGGAACTTCCAAAGCCCATCTCTCTTCTGTTATGCAGTTCAGGGCTTGAACCCAGGGAATGCTGCCACCTATACTTACCAGGCGGCTCTTCCCACCTACTCAAGACACTCTCACAGATGTGCCCAGGGGCTTGTCCCATGAGTGACTCGAAATCCTGTCCAGTTGGCAACATTAGCCATCACAGTACGCACGAAGCATCAGAATCCCAAAAGAGGTACTGGAATTCTGGCAATGCCATCAGAAGAGGAAGTGCATGGCTATTGCATAATCCTGCAGAATCAGAACTCTCAGATGTTCCTGAGACAGAAGCCGCCACTTCATTTTCCCTCCCCAGGCCACGAAAACGTCCATCATACTGTCTGCCCTGGTCTTGAGGACACTAAAACCTACAGAAAATAAATAGAAGCAGGTTCCAAGAGGGGCACTCTCTCCCCATTTCTTTTGTCCTCGCTCTTAACGAAGCACCGCTCTGGTTTGAAAGGCACCACCACACTTAGCTCTCTATATCATGTATTATATCTCCAATGCTCTCCCTCTTGCTTGGAGGCCCAATTGTAGCCTTGAGACCCTTATATTCTAATAAACCTGACACCTGAAGGGAATCATGTATCAGCTTCCTTTCAGGCAGACCCTGCCATTCTTATCATTAAAAATACTGTTTTGTAAATTGCTTTTTAATTTATTCTATTTATTGCTTGTGTTGTATATTACCACATTAACATATAATGATTCGACCATGGCTATGAAGACAGGCTGCATGTATATGTATTTTACTGGGTAACTATTACATTTGCGCGTGTGGCTTTCTGTGTATACAGTTGTACATGTCCATGTGTGTTACATGTGGAGAGCAGAGATCAGCCTCAGGGAATTCCTCAGATGCTGTCTTTGTTTGTTTGTTTTGGTTTTTTGCACAGGGTCCTTCACTGGCCTGAGACTGGCTAAGTAGAACAGGAAAGCTGGCCTTCCAGCTCCAGGGAGTCCTCCTATCTGTTCCTCCCCAGCATTGGGATTATGCCTGGCTTTCACACAGGAATTCGTGCACACACACACACTCACATTTTCTCCTGCCCACTCATTTTTGTATGGTAACTTTTACGTATAAGCAGATACCTTCCAAAAAATTTTGCAGCCACACAGTTTTCATACACAGTTTTCATACTCCATTTTAAATGAGTTGACTATTGTTAGTGTTGACATGCTTAAAAATAATTAAAAAAAAAAAAAAACTTGGCTAACCTCTACACTGTCGTATTTTTTTATGGCCAGAGGCTGGCATTTCATTCGTGGCGGTAGCGGGGATGCGGCCTAGCCCTCACGTGGTGGTACTGTATTTTTGCCTGTTCTATCCCAATTGTTAGAGTACTCAGACCTGATGATAATGTCCACAGGCCCACAATGATGGCCAAAGAGACTTAATATGGAGACAGACGCTCCCTAAGGACCCTTTGCTCTGTAATGCCCGGAATCTGTGTGTCTGCAGGTGACGTAAGAATAGAACGAACAGCTAGCTCCCTTTGCGCCTGTAAAATCCTGCCTATCGCTATGGAAAAGGGATGAAATGGTCTTTTATTATCATGCAGCAAGAAGGAAGAAACAACGGAGGGAAATAAAACAGTTTTCATGCCCCGCTGTGGAGTCCATGGATCATTGTAATAACCACCTTTCTGATGTCCACCTTAAAACTCTTCCCAGGGCATGCTGGGCTCCAAGGGTCCTTCTGCTGGCCTTAACAATAAGTTAGTTTAATCTAAATTTGAAATGAGCCTGAGTCTTGGTTTCTCCCTGTGGATTTAAACGACACAACCGAGGAATAAGGGAATCTGTGCCCACAGATTATCCTAACCCTCATCAGTAATTCACCAGGAATAAACTGAGCACATAAAGAGTGAAGTTTTCCCTGCACTCAGGAGGCAGAAGGCCATTAGTTCCAGGTCAAAAAGGATCTCAAATCTGTGAGAGGGCAAAAATGGAGAATTGGAAACTCTCTTTAAAAAAAAACAAAAAACAATCCAGAGGTTAGTAACCTGGAACCTAAGCACGGCCCAGCACACAGGTACCGTTGAAACCTCAGGGCAAGCCACACTATCCCTGAACACTCCCAGGGCGCAGAACCAGGAGGTCCTGGACCTCAGGGATGCTGCAAAGGAAACTGAGATGGACCACATACGGCCGACTTCCCGCAGCACCTCCGCTGGTCCCCATCCCCCGAATTCCTGCCTCCTGGTGGTCTCCCAGTAACAGTCTGGAGGGAACTACGTTTCCCGGTGAGTACTGGACACTAGAATGACCGATCACAGCGGTATGCGCGCAGGCCAGGGAGGTCCAGAACTAGCTTCCTGCTTCTCGCCTCCCAAGTGAGCCACAGAGAGGAGTTTCCGGCTCCCGTGGTCCCTAAGAGCTCCATCAGCCAGCCTTCAACCTCACCTTTTCCTCACCTGAGCGCTTGCTCTGAGTGAGAGAGCAGGCTTCCACACCGGAAGTGGCTCCCCGGATGTGGCCTTACAGAGGCACAAACATCCGGCCTCCCAGATGCACTGGGTTTCTATGTTCTCTCAACCTGAAGGCATCAAGTTCCAGATGGTGGCTAACAGACTTTGAGGGCACCCAGCAGGACGAGACGAGAAATCGGCCTCTCCGGCCTGGCTTTCTGGGTCTTTTCCAGAACCTAGTCTTAACGCCAGACGCTGAGAGTGCGGAAGGCTGAGGGCGGTGAGGATGAACAGCCAGGCTGGGGCTGCTGATGGTGGATGAGCATCATTCATTACTGAGATGCTAGAGCAATTAGGGTACCACGTGCGCCCCCAAAGAGTGCGACGGTTGACCCTAGGCAGATGAGTATGAGTCTGACCTAGTGGGCCCTAGGCAGATGTCTCCTGCCTCTCATCAGCGTGAACAGTCAACCGTGTACTCGAGGACATCTTCGGTGACCTTTCCTGAGTGGGAACACAACGCTGATCCTGGGTTTCCTGTCTTTCAGCCCATTTCTCTTTATGAGATCTTGAATTAAATTACGACTTCTTTACTGGGTTTCCACTTAATATTTTTTGTTTGTTTTTTCTAAGACAAGGTCTCTCTGTAGAGTTGGCAGGCCTTAAGCTCACAGAGATCCGCCTGCCTCTGCCTCCCAAGTGCTGGGCCATTATTGTGTGGCTATTGCACTTAATTTTTTCAAGGAAGGTGGCTCTTAACCACCTTCAAGCCATCATTGCTCTCTTCTGTTTGACCCAGGGTGTCTCTTTCAGAGTATCCTAGGAATCTTTCCTTTCAATTATGACTTCCCACTCTAGCTAGCTGTCTTACCTTACTGGTTCAGACCTAAAATGCCCACTGCACCTAACTTGTGTATTGGAGTGTAATCAGACCTTGCCCTATAGGGTAATTCTTGTAGGTAATTCTTAGTTTCTCTGTCTGCATCCTGGCTATCTGATGGATTTCCTTCAGTAAAAGAGGTGGCTTCCGAAGCTGCCAGAAAGGGGTGTGATGTTTTGTTGTTGTTAACAATTATGATTGGTTATATTACAAAAGTGGTTCCATTATCCACCAAGGCAAAGCAGTCCTTTGTACTGAGAGTTCCTCCAGACTCCAAGCTGAGCCTTTGAGGTGGCACTAGTAAAGCCCAAGACCATCCACATCTTGACCAAGCCGTTCACTCAACCACGTTAGAAAGTCTTGGAGCCCTTAGTCATTGTTAGGATATGAGTTCAAGCCTTCAGAACACTGATGAGAAGCATGTGCTTGTTTCACAAGAAAGGAGGCTGGTTCTGGTGAGTAAGGGAGACTCCACCTTAGCCGTGATTTCAAGTGGATATTGAAGAAGGAGTCCTGGCTAGGGATGTAGCTTCCATTGCTTGCCAGCCGTGCACAAAGCTCTGGGCTTCATTCCCTAGCACTGCTTGAGAGGTGAAGGTGGAGGATCAGAAATGTGTAATGTCAGCAGGTCGTGCTGGCATATGCCTGAAATTCCAGCACTCTGGGAGGCAGAGGCAGGCAGATCTCTGGGTTCAAGGCCAGCGTGGTCTACAGAGTGAGTCCAGGACAGCCAAGGCTACACAGAGAAACCCTGTCTCAAAAAAACCAAAAAATAAAAAATGTGCAATGCCTCAGAGTGTTCAGTGTACTTTTTTGTATTATCTAACTTTACCCTGCACTCTGAGTGGATGGATTTGTTTTTGTTTGTTTGCGACAGGGCTT